GAGATATAATGTAGAAGAAGAAGATATATTTCATAAATCTCGCGAGGGGAAATTCTATTTTACACTGAGCATGCTACACACACATGCACAAGCAGGAAATAAAATGGAATGATACAAATAAAACTCGACAACAGATTAGTTTAACTCCACCAACTCAATTATTTCCGCAGTTTAACTGAACCTAGACTGTTGCTAAGCAACCCAAACATTCTGTTCTACCATTGGTGTCCATGGTTACCACAGAGCAGTGAGTCTGTGAACCTTTAAAATAAATGAATGTGATCATGAAACCAGGTGAGTCTGTTGTTTGAGATGATGAATAAAGAAAAACTGTTAATTGTAAATGTTAAATCAAAAGTATTCATAGCACCTGGCTGAAGAGGAGGAGGGATACATATTGTGAAAAGTCCAAGTGATGTCACTCATGGGAGGCCTCTTGTCCAATCAGATTGCTTGGTCGGAACTAACTTTTGTAAAATGTGAAACAACAAAAGCTGTTGTCGTCGCTCTGGGCTGTATGGTAGTAAGGATCTGAGGCCTCCAAATAACTTCTGTGTATGACCTGTGGAGGGCAGCAATACGCCGTAGCTGCGTCTAGTCTGCCGGAAAGCTAAAAGAAGAAGATGATTGTTGTTGTTATTGCGCATTCTTGCCTTCTTTACGGTAATCCTGACAGCGGATCCGGTTGTCAGCTGATCCTCCGTTACGGGGCGAGTGAGGAGGAGAATCAGCTGAAACGAAACACCGCCGGGTACCTAAAACCATGGCCGCGGAGATCCACTCGAGCCCCAAACCGCCAGACCGATTCTTTTGAACAAGATTGAGGGCCACTCGGACACTGTCAACTCGGCCGTTTTAATACCGAAAGAAGATGGAGTGATCACCGTGAGCGAGGACAGGTGAGTTTACCGAGCAGGCTAAAGGTAGCCTAGCGGGCTCCGTCTATGTCCTGGTTATCGTTAGACTCAGAGTGCCTGCTGCGCTGGCTGGATTAGTACGAAAGTAAATAGAAGAAGCGAGTATTTTAGTCTGAATGTGTTACTGTAAGGTTTAAATACTATATTTAGACCCATAGCAGGGCGTGGGGTTATAAATACATAATGAGCCCTTAACCAACATAGTGTATAGTGTAGTTTCATCCGCTTTTCGACTCCTGAGTTCACTACAACCAGAGCCTCACACTCACAGTGATGTGATACCTCATCTACCAAACTAGATCTCAGTAAACATTCGTCAACAACGACGTACGCTTTCAAATGCTCCATGTATCCGGAATGACTTTTTACTTAAAGGGGACATATTATGAAAAATCCACTTTGTTTCTGAACATATATTTGGGTAACCTGAGTGACCTACCGACCCACAAAATGTGAAATAAACCCATTCAGTTCTTTGTTTGTGGTCTGCATAAGTCTTACAACACAGAGAAAAATGCTCTGTTTCAATTGTGCTGTCCTTGTGATGTCACAGTGGGATTCTGGTTAAAATAAAAAAAATACCCGTCCCTCCCCTGATATCTCCACCCATGGACTCCACCCCCAGCTAGTGCTGGGCGATATATCGTGAAGCTCGATTCGATCGATACTCTACTCTCGAATTGTACACTCGCACACAGATGTTAGCGCATGTTTTCTCTTCTGAAACACACGTTTAGTAAAACGGTTTTGAAACCATCATATTCCGACAAAAGCCCAGCTAAAATCAGCATTCAAAGAAAACAAATCGCCGGAAAAGTTGAGAGAGTGACAGCAGGGCGTGACGAAAACAGAAGGGAGAAAAGTTTCATCCACAGTGACAGACAGCTGGAGGAGCTGGAACACGCTGCAGCTACATTTCCCCTTAAAGTTAAAGACTAGATCATGGTAAAGATAAAAGTTATTCACAAAGCATCTTAGCCCTTAAGAGAACTCCTAAAGTAAAGATCTAAGAGCCAGTGATATTTTTTTTATACAGTGGAGATTCAGTTTTACAGGCTACATTTATAAACTTTAATACGATAAGTATCGAGTCATATCGAATATCGACATTAGGCAAAAAAATATCGTGATATCAAATTTAGGCGATATCGCCCAGCACTACCCCCAGCTATAGAACAAAACTTTTGTGCAGATCAGCCATTTTTATTCTCGCTACAGAGGAGTGATGTCTACCTGGAAGACTCAGGGGGGGCTCACGGCATTTAAAGAGACACACACACACACCAAAACGGAGCGTTCTGAGAGAGCTGGTTTATACAGGGCCCCAACCCTCTTCTGGTGCTTGATTCATGTTATATTTTGACCAAAGCACAGCACAGATGTTTCATTTAGACCACAGGGGACTGTTTGAAAAGGTGGAGAAGGGGGATAATATGTCCTCTTTAAAGTTATTATTTTGCAGGTCCTTTAAATGACATGTTTTTACATTGGAGGAAGACTTTCTGTTACTCAGACTGTTGACTGAGACTGCTGGAGAAGACCGACCAAATTTAAACGTATTAAACCAACATTCATCTGTAGCGCCTTCAACCTGAAGCGTCTTCAACCTGAAGCGTCTTCAACCTGAAGCGTCTTCCTCTGATGCCTTTAATGGACTTTAAAAAAGAGACCAGCTCCCCCTGACACTGATCCTCCTGCATGAAGTGAAGCCTCTCACTGTGGGAGTGTGCAAACACTGTGAAGGAGGAAAAGTGCAGAATGGATCACTTTCATTCAGCTGGGGTTAGCTGTAAAGTTCCAGTAATAATCAACACTGTCATCATGTTAAGATGAAGAGTCGAGGTTTCTGTGAAGATGTTTCACAGTTTTCATATCATATCTGACCCCACTGGATATTTAAGGGGGAAGCTTTGGGCCAGATTGCTGCTTTTGCTCTCGTTTCTGTGGTCATTCTGCTGACTTTTTACGGGAATAGAAGTAAAACCTTCGACCTGATTCCTCAGAGAAGCTCATTTAAATTCAACTGAAGTGAAACTAATGTGGTTGTCAATGAAAATATGTCCCTTTGGTGTCCAGTTACTTCAGTTGATTTAACAGGGAAGCGTAAAACAGTCCATGAAGTGTTCACATTGATCATAGCACTGCTGTTATTACATTTAAAGGACACGGCGCTAGAAGCTGTTTAGGACCTAACGTACAGCACAAGGAGTGGTTCAGTAAATAAACGCTGACCTAGAAAGTATGTAAACAAAGTGTTGGAGCACAGTCCTGTGAAGAGAATCCAGCTCTGTGTGTAAACAGAGTCAGGGCAGGTTTCCAACATGAGGGCCAGGTCATAAACGAAGGCCCTCTCAGTCGAGTTTCATTTCCACATCAAGAAGAAAGAAAGTGTCTGACTGTAGATTCATAAGAAGAGGAGGAACCTGAATATACCACAGAGTGAACGCTGACAAGTGGTTTCAATAACGCCATGTTTTCATGTGGTTTTCAGAACGATCCGGGTTTGGCTGAAGAGGGACAGCGGTCAGTACTGGCCCAGTATCTACCACACGGTGTCCTGTGAGTACGGCTGCTTTGAGTCACTGAGAAGAAGAGTCATGGGGACGACATGTTTGAACGCCTACACTTCACACACACTTCCTTTTCTGATAAATTGGTGCTTAGCGAGAGTAGTGTGCGGGATATTTTCTTTTCAAGTAATAGTTTGTCGTCCTTCATGAGAGAGTTGGATGTGCGAACACCTCCTTAAAAACATTTCAACTTCAAATTACCGCCCTGAAATGTTTGAGAGGAAACGTTTTGCTCGCTTTGACTGACTTACTCTCTCCGGCTAGCCGCTGGAGTTCTCACGATCACAGAGTTATTTGACCATTATGCTTTTTATTGTGTTTCTCAGCGTTGACATACAGCCCCAATTCACAACTTCTGCATTTCTAAGTGAGACAAAAATACAAAACATGAAAACACAAACAACAAAAAGAGGCACACACATGACTCTTAGCTGTGCTTATCACAAGTCGTCTCATCATGTGTTATATGTTATCACATGATGTACAGAACATCATTATGATCATCTTCAGAGAGGGACCCAAACAGCTCTAAAAACCTTTTGTGTGTTATTTTTAGCCTTCCGACTGGCTCATCTCTCCGCTCCCTAAAGCTGACTTTCTCTTTGGAGTACAAATCAAACTACTGTACATGGACACGTGTTTGATGTCATGATCACAAGTATAGAAGTCTTAGGCACCAACATTTCAATTCTTGTTTTTAATTAGCAGTCAAACTCCTGCACAGTTTTTCTAAATTCCACAAAAACATAATCCATTTTCACCACGATTTAGACCCATGTTTTGAAATATTCCATCTCAATGATCGCTCATAATCCAGTTGAACCTCCCTGTATATTTGAATGGACCACCGCTGCTCTCTTTCTTTCACTCCCAGCAGCTTTGAGTTCAAATGATGGCTTAAATCTGCAGGACACATCTTCTGTTTGTTATGACCTTAAACCAGTTACTGTGTTACTCCAGTGATGGCTTCTGTTTTAAAGGAGAAGCAAGTCCATTATTTGGGGTTCTAGTAGGTTTGACCAGCGTACTCATGGATATCATATTTCAGGCATTAGCGGCATTTCCACTACTGGTATTAATATCGTAGCCTCTCTATGTGTTTGGTCCACCACAGCAGTTTTAAAGAGAAACTCTTTCCCGTGATGTGTGTGCAGAGTTCAAAGTGATTCCCCCGCTCAGTCTAAAAGTCTTCTCTCTCCTTCAGCTCCGTGCTCTTGCATGTCGTACCACCACGACAGCAGACGCATCTTCATAGGCCAAGACAACGGAGCGGTTGTGGTGAGTGATGCTCACTCAAACATGTGGCTCCAGGTTCCCTTTTTAGCTTGTGCAAACATATTTAGTTAAAAAACAGCTGCCTGTCTGGTTTATGTTAAGCACTGTTTCAATATTTGGACTATTTGAGATGCCTGTGAGGGAGGGATGGTTATTTGATCCTGTTTGTTTCTTCGCCCTCTAGGAGTTTCTCATCTCTGAAGACTTCAACAAGATGAGCCATGTCAAAACGTATCCAGGTAAGAGAACCAGCTACGGACTCATGTATACAACTGTCAAGTCTAATGTCACATGACAGCTAGGGCTGTCTTTTTTCAATTAAACCACTTGGAACAAATAAAGAGTGACACAGTAATGTTCCAACACATCCTACCCCCCCCCCCTCCCTGCATTATGACCTGCTGACGAGAACACCTGTTGACAGCTCAGAGACGTTCATGGTACACACAAATGGAGCCCTGCGTTAGTTCAGGCGGAATACGGTAGTCCTGCCCGCAAGCGGCTATCAGCTGATCTGAGAACCGCCCCAATGCCAACCAATCATTATCACACTCTGACAACAAGGCGGTCTATTTAAACCATTCTGCCTCTCACTCCTCCTGCATCACATCCACTCTGCTGCTAGACTCCCCGACCTCCACCAGCATCAGTCAGCACATTTTTATATTCTAGGATATACTGCTGAGAGCTAAGAGCAGAACCAATACCGCCAAATACAACTGTACAAACCAGAAGTGCAATAAATGGTTAAATCTATGACGAGAGTATTCCTGATTGAAATATTTACGAGCCAGCTTGGAGAGTTGTGGGTCTGTTGTGACCCTGAGTCTCTCCACGTCTCTCTGCCAAAGCCTTGGGAGAGAGGACGTTCTCCCCCAGGTTCCAATGAATGTTCCACTTTAGAATAATGATTGACAGCTCTCGAGTAGCTGATCTATAAAAAGCTGTACATCCCAGAAAAGCGTGAGCGTGCATCCTTCATCCTCAACCTTGTACACTTCAGTTTATCCAAAAGGAGTACGTGCTTCTCTCGAGGGAACTGAAAATGAGTCGATGATGTTCAGCCTATTCAAGATGAACGACCATTAGGATATGAACGACTCGAGAAAAGAAACAGATCCTCGGAGGAGTCAAATAAACAAAGGACGTTAACTGAGACATTTATGAATGAGATATTCTGATCTGTAGCCTTCTGGTATGTGTTTAAAATCATTATCATGTAGCTGTCACAGAGAGTTCATGTGAGTTCAGTGTTTACACGCTGACTGTCGGAGAGTTTGTCCCACTTCCTGCTCCAAGAGACCCGAGACAGACGGCGGGGAGAACCCACAGAGAGCAGAGGATGTCTTGATTTCATCTCCTTCTTATTGGTCCCTTATGAGCTGAGCACACTTCCTGTGACTGTCATCAGCACGTCTCGAGCCTCGTCAGTGGAAAACAAAAAATCAGCCAGCGTGCTGCTTTAGAGAGCTAAACGCCACATGTTGTCAGTGGAATGCTGCGTCTGGTCTCTACCAGCAGGGAGTACAGAGATATGACTCACCATCAGATCAAAGATTATAATGCAGGTGTGCACTTTAAATCCAGGAGGGGCTCAACATCTCCATATGGCAGTCAGTTTGACTTTGTTTAAAGAGAAAAAGAAATGTAGACTTCTTCTTCCAATCAGCTCTTTGCTAACCATAAAAACAGCGTCCGTATGTTCAGTCTGGATTTAAATATAAAACAATCCTCTCTCTGTAGTTGGAACCCAAGATAAGAAAGAACGCCTCCATCATGACCTCATCCAATAACTGGTTATAGTACAATGCATAACTGGGGCATTGGTGGCCTAGTGGTTAATCTGCACGGCCCGTTAAAAGAGGCTACAGTCCTCAATGACGGCAACTTGAATACATGTAGTGTGAAAACAACAGAGTGGACCTTGGAGTTGATCCCCAGATGGACCATAAAGACTGATAGGAGTCCAGATTGTCTGAAGGGATTAATCTGTGTTCGATTAGATTACAGGGACAATAAGCAGAGCCTCTGATTGGATCGGAAGAGGGAAATTAGTCTTTGATGGTTTTTTGCTCCGTAACAGCTTGGATATAAAAGCCCAGTGGAATAGATATAATCCTGTTTGATGTTTACCCAACGTGACTCGAGCCTGATCAACCCTCTCTCTGTGTGTGTGTGTGTGTTTTACAGCCCACCAGAACCGTGTGTCAGATATGGTGTTCTCCCTGGAGAGTGAGTGGGTGGTGAGTACCGGCCACGACAAGAGTGTGAGCTGGATGTGCACCCAGAGCGGCAGCATGCTGGGGAGACACTACTTCACCGCCTGGGCCTCCTGCCTACAGTATCCTTCATTCACACTCTGTGTAGTGTGCTGTCAAACAAGTCACTCATACACTCCTGATATATTGATATAGATATTATTTTCTTATCCCCTCTTCACTCATACCCTCCTAAAAACGTTAGGACAGTCGGCTCACTCCGCCTTCTTGTTCACATATTTCAGGAAGTTCTCAGGAGTTTGGTGCATGTGTGAAAAGGCTATAAGAGTATTTTTACCTTTGGCCTTCATTGGATTAAAAAAAGAGAGATAAGAAATGCGGAGAAGAGAGAGAGAGAGAGAAGTGTCGGGTGCATCGAGGACTTGCCTCGGTAAATGGTGCCTCGACTGACCAAAATCTGGTCCTTCGTCCCTCACTTTTTGGAGACATCCGTCTTGTGCTGCAGAGGATTAGCACGCCCAAGGCCCCTGCCCACACCCGCCACCAGGTTTAGCATGAACCTGACCCCCCTGCCTCTCCCTGCGGGTGACGGGCCTAGTCGAAAGGAGTCAGTTGAGGTGGTTTGGGCATCTGATTAGGAAGCCTCCCTTTTTGGAGGTTTTTTGCCTGGGCATGCCCAACTGGGAGGAGACCCCGGGGCAGACCCAGAGTTGCTGGAGGGATTATATATCCCGTCTGGCCTGGGAACACCTCTCAATCCCCCAGGAGGAGCTGGAGGACATTGCTGGTGAGTGGAAAGTCTGGGCTGACTTCCTTCGCCTGCTTCCACGGCGACCCGACCTCGGTAAGAGGAAGTAAACTGATGGATGGTATTTGGAGACATTCAGGTTCGGACATTTCTCTGTCTTGCCTTGAAGCGCGTTGTTCAGCAGCGCCTTTTGAATCAACTGAACTGATGTACAGTTTACATGTAACATGGAAAGTGTGTTCAAGCCCTGACTCCCTGCTCAGATATGACCACGAGACGCAGCACGCCTTTGTGGGCGATTACTCAGGACAGATCACGCTGCTGAAGCTGGAGAAGCAGACGTACTCAACCATCACGACGCTGAAGGGTCATGAAGGTAAACACACACACACACACGCTTATACACCTTTATACACGTGTGGTCATCCACACACAGTTATTGTTTGCTCCTCACACTGTACTTATGAAGCAGGATTCCTGGGTAGTACAGGACCTTCAGGGTTTCCATGGAGACCTGTGATACACACATAACCTGCATAGCCTCAGTGGGTGGAACTCTTAATAAGAGATCAACCTGTTTAAGATCGTTGAGCTCACTCAGCCCAACATTAGAAGCGGAGGCAGGAGTTTAGAGACGGGCACAACAACTTGATGCTCCCTCGGGTGACAGTGTCTCGTGATAAAGGGCTAAAACACTTGATGGTCCTGAGGTGGACGAATGATGATTTCACCACAGCTCGCCTTGACATTTCAACGTTTGTCACAAAATGCCAAAAAAGAAAGCCGAATCTTCTTCTCCTCGTTGATTCTTCTTTAGTCTGGCCCTTTTTGCTCGTCTGTACATCAGGCTGCTGATGCTGAAGGCTCGTGTCCAGATGTGGTCTGAGTAAAGATTTCAGAAGGATGATTCACATTTTTCCAACGACAAGAGAAGCAAATAAAAGACTGGTAGCATCAGTTATTTGAACCATCGTGATGAGACACACTTTTAGATTTAAAGTTGATTTGAATGAAAAGTCTAACTCTGTTTTGCACGGAGGAGGTTCAAGTTTTTTCAAAAGAAGGGGCTTACGTACGATCTGTTAAACTGACCACGCTGCCACACAAACTTTCTAAGTAAGTACAGCTGTGCTGGCAGGATGTGAGACTTACTTCTCCAGGAGAAGTCCTTCATCATCTGGCTCTGAAGACGACGACGATGATGAAAGAAATGATGCTCTCATGCTGCTCTGGAAATCCCCGTCTCTGCTGCAGATGTTGGCTGCAGAATTTTAAAACTCATGAGAACTCCCCACAACACACCCACAGAGTTCTCCTGCTCTGTGCAGGTTGCTCTTGTTTAGTGTGTGAATGTGGAGATGAGCTCTCCTACTGATGGAGATGCTCTGTCCTCCTGAAGATAAAATGAGTCTAACTGGTTAGTCTAAAGCTTCCTCTCTGAACGGAGCAAGCACCTCACATCCTCGTGCTTATAACGGCTTGTTTTATGAATAGTTACTTCAAGGTAATATTCACTAAATTTATAAACAGAGCTTTTATTTTGAAGTCATTCAGAGGCAGGATTGTTATCATGATCACTGGAAAGTTTGCGTGACATCTCTTATTAATACTGCGCCACAGTTAGCATCAGCTGTTTGACGTCCTTTAGCGGGCGCAAAAAGCAGCGCCATCCTTTTGTGGATCAGGCCCAACAGTATGTGTATAAAGCACCAAAGAAATCGTCAAAGGCCAGTGTCCATTCTGGTATCGAGCTCCATGTATGTGGGTGTCTTCTTGTGTCTCATTCAGACAAAGTAACAGTCAGCGCGGTTAGGCTCCTGCCCCCTGCTGCAGGCTGTTATTCATCATATGACTCATCGACCCTGCCCCAGGGTTCCAATGTTTTTAGCTCTTTGTGACTGAAAATCTGTGATTCAGCTGAACTAAAACAACATGTGTTCTGCTTCTGCCCACAACACAGAAGTAAAATCATCTCTAAAGAATGAGCAGATGGTCTGAGTGTGTGTGTTTCTGGAAACAACCGATTTCTGCTTAATTAAACTGAAGAGCTCAGAAAAGGAAATGTAGACTGAACAAAACGAAGCTCTGATGAAACCCATCGGGTCAATTATTAAAGCAGCTGCAGCTCGTCCAGAGTTTCGCTCGTCTCAGGATTTACGTGTGAAAAATATTTAAACATAGAAATTCCTAAAGTACGGAGGGCCGGAAGTCCCAGAAAGCATGCGATTTGGATTCGCTTGGTTGTGTCTTCATGTTGTTTCTGAAGCTTCAGTGTAACAACACTTAGTTCCCTCTAGTAAACGTGGTTAAAGAAATATACGTAGACATCACTGAGTAAGCTTTGAGTGCTGCTACTCGGAGGACGGCGTTTCACGTTTAAGTTTGTCTTTACTGAGGAGTAGATAACCTCTCAGGTAAAAGATGGTTACAGACTAACAAAGGAAAGTTGTGCCCACTGTAAGATTTGCACATTTTATTACCTTAAAAAGAAGAGTGAACTCCCCTCTAAGCTAAAAGTGTGAGGGGGTGTAGTTGGAGCTTCTTGTAGTTTTCCCAGTGTACACCAGGGGGCGCCAACAGGTCAGACCATTAGGCTGTCCCTCAATAACTGCCTTCAATAACCCTTCTTTCAAACATGTGCTTCTTTGTCTCCAGGAAGTATAGCAGCCCTGTGGTGGGACCCCGTCCAGAGGCTGCTGTTCTCGGGGGCAGCAGACCACAGCGTCATCATGTGGGACATCGGGGGCCGCAAGGGACGGACATTACTGTTGCAGGGACACCAGTAAATCCTTCTATATTTCTTTATGCACGGACGCTGAATTAGCATTGGCTCGTCTGTATCAGGGATGTGGATGCTTCAGAATAAATCGGGGGAAATGAGGTGGGGTCATTGGGAAGAGCCTCTGAGTCCAATCCACAAAACAACTTTGCAGCTTTGACAACCAAAACCTTTTTTAAAGTTGCAGAGTTGGATGCTGATTCTTGTGTGACCATATTGATGCTGAAGGTTAAAATGAGGTGTTGTGTTTTGATTGAAATCATGGATTTGATCAGAACTGTTTCTATCGTCTTTGTCCCTCAGCGAGCGCGTTCAGGCAATACGTTTCCTGCAGCTGACCAGGCAGCTGTTGTCGTGCTCGGCAGACGGAGGCATCGCGGTGTGGAACATGGACACACAAAGAGAAGAGGTTTGCATCACTATGTGAATATTGACACTCTTTGTAGCAGGTTACTCCCCCCCACCCGCATGTTTAATCCTAGTCTCCTCTGTGTCTTCAGGCCCCCCAGTGGTTAGACAGCGACTCCTGTCAGAAGTGTGAGCAGCCTTTCTTCTGGAACATCAAGCAGATGTGGGACAGTAAGACCCTGGGGCTCAGGCAGGTACGAGAGTCTGCCCTCTTTTTAAAATCACTCTATCAGTCATATTTATACTAATGTGCCATTTTTCTTTGAACCAGCACCACTGCAGAAAGTGTGGAAAGGCTGTGTGTGGGAAATGTAGTTCTAAACGCTCCACATTCCCAATCATGGGCTTCGAGTTCCCTGTGAGGGTGTGTGATGCCTGCTTTGATACCATCAAAGAAGAAGAGTGAGTAAAGAGCATCTCCAAGCTCTGTGATATTGTCTAACACAACACGGACAGCATCTCTGATTCAATATTGTGTGTTTGTGTGTTTGGTGCAGTCGAACAGCATTGGCTACATTCCACGAGGGGAAACACAACATTGCCCACATGGACATGGATCCGTCCAGAGGCCTGATGGTCACCTGTGGAAGCGACCGCATTGTGAAGGTAAACAACAGTTTCTTTGTCAGCAGATGATTCCTGCATAGGCTCAGGCTGCGTCCATCACAGAATCTGATGCCTGCTCTCACAGCAGGGTGTGACTGGACATCAGAGTTATAATAAAACAGAATCTTTAGATGTAGATTTGCACCAGGCCTCTCGTCTCACTGGCTATTTGTCTCTACAGATCTGGGATATGACGCAGGTGGTTGGCTGTAGCTTGGCAACAGGCTTCTCTCCGCGCTGATTGGCCGAGGCCCACTGCATGGTCCTCCTCTTCCTCTACAATCCCCCCTCCGCTCTGTGCTCCGCCCACTCTTCCAATGTCATGGAAACCCCTCTGTACAGTATATCTCCCCTCTACGCTGGGGATTGTCAGCTACAACGAGGCCTGCTCTCAGTGAACGTGTGTGTGTGTGTGTCTGTGTGTGTGTGAGTGTGTGTGTGTCTGTGTCTGTGTGTGTGTGAGTCAATGGTGCTGCCCTCCACTTTCCTTTAGCTCATAACTAATTTGTCTATCATGTCTAACTGTCCGTCCCACCTGTGAGTGGGTGTGGCTTCAATCTGAGACAGACCCCTAAGCACAAAGAGGTGTGTGTGTGTGTGTGTGTGTACGTGTGTACGTATGTGTGTGTGTGTATGTACATGTGTGCATGTATTGTGACGACGCCTCCTGTTGGAGGACTGCTGTTAGTGTTTACATTATGATAATATTTCCAATGCTTTTTCTGACTGAGGTCATTTTTTATTACCCTTGCACTGTAAAGTTCACTAAGTCGCCACCCCCCCCCCCCCGTACAAACAGACTCTTGCTTCTTATTGTTGCCCGTTACCTGCATATAAGTCACTGTAACATGTACAAACCCCCGATCATGTGTATATATCTCCTGCATTGTATGTATTGTAGATAGCTGCTTGAATTAACTCTCACTGATCAAAGTGATCAGTTTGCTCTCCTCTTTGTTAGTTGATTTTCTTTCACTAGTTGGCCTTAAATCACTCTCAGGAGGTTTATTATCGTCGGTCACCAGGTGGGGGCTGCACGGTCGGTCACCAGGTGGGGGCTGCACGGTCGGTCACCAGGTGGGGGCTGCACGGTCGGTCACCAGGTGGGGGCTGCACGGTCGGTCACCAGGTGGGGGCTGCACGGTCGGTCACCAGCTTGGGGTTGTTATATCACGTCAGTCGTAACCTTTATTCGTTCTTGTTTTTCCTCAAATCGACAAATGGAACAGCTTCTTCTGAAATCTCTTTTTCACTGAAAAAAGACGCTCCCGTAGATATTGGTTGAACTTCTGTTTGCACGGCAGCTCCGACCCAGGAAATTAGATGTCGTTACCATAGTAACCTGTACTAACAGAGACATTATTAAATATCCTGTCCAGGCATGTGAAGTGATGAGGTTATCACGATAAAAACACATAATTGTTATCTTTAAGTAAAAATGTAACTACTATTTGACTGCGTTGAAAATGAAGGATATCTTTTAAACCAAATGAATTATGAATCTCTAGTTTGATCTTGCATTTTAAGAGAGCACGGCTGGTACGCACTCTTGCATTTTTCCGTTTCAACACTTAATGCATCGGGGCCTCTAATCGAGAGCTGCTTTTATTGGTCAGAACATGCAGCAACACCAGGCTAGTAAAAGGCATTGGCCTTAAACTGGGTCCTAGGTACCTAATATTGTTTTTAGTTTAGCGCAAATTGTAAGCAAACTCCCCCCCACACACACACACTGCCTAAATTGCACAAATATGTTGGCAACATATTTGCCAGATACAGCTCCCTACAATGTTTAGAATTTGGACTGCAGTACCCATTTTAAACACTAGGTTGTCGGAGCTACATATTGCCCCTTTATAATTGGGTTACTGGTTTGTAAAGCTTCTCAGCCCCCTTGTGGCTAAACTGAGTATTACAAACCTGTTTTCTGTATTGGTGTTTTTCCCCTCTCGCCTCTCAGATACCGATCTTATAGTTCTAAAAATAGCCCAGCATCACCCCCTCCTATAAATCATCACTCTCTTTAAAACTCTGTGTAGGTAGATACCACACTCGTGATTCTGATGCCTCGTGCCGCCTACTTGTCTGTATTTTCCTGAATATAAATAATTCCAATTGTTTGTGGAGTCAAATTGGATTTCGTCCTCGTAAAAGGCACTTAACAGGAAGGTACTCTAAAGTCAATGTAGCACTTAAAGCTGAATCGCGCTGCCTGTGTTCCTTCAAATGCCTTAAAGAGCGAAGGACACACACAGACACACACACACACACACACACACACACACACACAGAGCCTTTTTAGTCAGTATATCCTTTTCCGTGCTTACGACTGTTCACTTGCGCTCATTCACTCTCCTGCTCTCACCTCTTTCTGGAGCTGTCTCCTTCCCTCTCTGTAACTCGGCTCCTCACTCTCCTTCTGCCCCCCCCCCACACACACACACACACACATCTGTTCATCAAGGATGTCTCATACCGCTCTCATCAACATGCACTGAATTGCACAACTCTTTGTCTTTGACTCTGACTCAAAGATCATTTTTGTAAGTTCATATTTGGGAGGGATACTTTGTTGATTCGATGTAGCGTCCGTGTAAATATCCGCGTGTATCCTGTAATGTTAGACTCAACGCTTGCCTTACTGTGAGTGGGAAAACGAGCATTATATTGTCCATTTCAAAATGTAGTCACATTCCAGGTTTATGATCATGTAGTGTATATTTATATTTGTAGTAAAGTATTTATCTGTTCTCACGGTGGTTCACTTGTCTCTGTTCCCGTCATGAGATCCTCGTTAAACACACGCTAAATCATTTTCAACCCTTTTTAAAGAAGCACATCCAAACACTCATTGGTCAGTATTTACATCCCAACATGGACTGAACACTCAAATATTCAGAGTTCGACTGAAACACCAAGATTTAGTATAAAGGATAACGATCCACCCAAGTGGACACGCGAGGAACTGCAGCTTGTTGCACTTCCACATCGGCTCCTTGTGTATTTAATAATAAAAATACTGATTAGTTGACACCTAATACAACTTAACTAACGCAGGCGAGCAGATATCCTGGTCCAACTCATGTCACAAAGCTCCATGAAGGATCAACAGGGTAACCGACGGAGCTATGGAAGCTTTGTCCAATCAGAACTCCTCATTATGTCCTTGTAAGTTATGCATGCGGTGATGAAAGCCGTTTCTGATTCTGCAAGATTTACTCCGCAGCAGATACACCAGAAGGTGAATTCCTCACGTCATAATGGTCGACATTATTCCTTCATGTTTGTAACTCCACATCGTCACTTTGTTTAGATCGCCCGTCATTTCAAACTCTCGTCAATGGATTTGTTTGGTTGCCGTCGTCTCTTCCAGATGCTTGTGAGAGACGCTCGCTGTTCCAACACAATGTTGTTCATGTGTATCTCTAAATAAATGTATTTTTAAATACTTTTGTTGACGGTACAGAACTGACTTTAGTCTCTGTGTGTGCTCGAGACGCAGAGGAAATACTCACTGCTTAATAAAGATGTACTGATCTGTTGTCGTTGTTTTCTGTGATGTTTTTGTGCATCTGAAGCAAAAACGAGACACAAAACTTTAAGTGATTTTATCTTTATTCAAACTGACATTTTACAAGAAAGACAAGTCAAAGTCAGAGAGGAGCTTTTCATACTGATTTTACTGAGTCATGAAGAAGTAGTTACGCTGCTGAAGCTAACGGCTAACACACAGGGCACTTCAATCTGCAGCAGGAGGAGAGCGTCGCCATGACTGTGACATG